AGTACCAATTATGTGAATCCTCTCAAATAAAAGACAACCAAGGATCTTTCTTTCACTATCTGAAGACAGATTCCATTTGTTATTGCTAAAGAAGGTGGCTTCTTCTCTAGAATAGATCATTAAAGATAATCTCAATGGCCATTCTTTCATGGTAGCTATTTTGCAAATGCGATTCCTCTTGTCTTAGGGCAGGTATTTTCTCTAGCCCTACCTTAGGCAGGTATTTTCTCTCTGTGTTCTCTGTATGTGCTTATTAGTCTCAAAATGTTAGGGGCCAATTGTATAGAATAGGGGAAAAAAGCAAAATTATGTTATTTTGTTATAAATCTGAAGGACTTTATTTTGTTGGAAGTAAGAAAGGCAAATTAATTTGTACAGAGAGATTCTGGTAAAAAAAAGTGTTTTTTTGGATCTTAATTTCTTCTATCTCTTTCAGTGTGGAGGAGAAGTTGATAATATTCTGTATTAACTGTATTGAAGAAAAGATTCACCAGTGGGTGTGGACACTCCCAGTTCTTTATCTATTTACTGTGAATGATTCTGAATATAAAACTAGGACTTGCCTTGAATCAGAAAAGAAATGGGCAAGGTTGGAACGTATTCAGTATTTGGAATTCAGAGATGGAAACAGAAACTTTAATAAGTAGGTTTTTCAGCCTAGTATTGTTACTCCTGAAATGATTTCTGATTTTTTAAAAAGTTGATTTGAGTTAAGGCATGGACCTTCAATATTTATACAAATACTCCTCAACTTACAACCATTCATTTAGTTGACTGAAATTATAACAGCACTGAAAAAAGTGATTTTATGAGTGTTTTTCCCACTTACAACCATTGCAGCATCCCCCACATGGTCATGTGATCAAAATTTGGACACTTGGCATCTGACTCATATTTATGACAGTTGCAGTGTCCCTTTTTGCGACCTTCTGAGAAGCAAAGTCAATGGGGAAGCCAGATACACCGAACAAACGTGTTAGCAACTTAATTTTGGTGGTTCACTTAACAGCTGTGGCAAGAAACATTGTAAAATGGAGCAAAACTTACTTAACAACTGTCTTGCTTAGCAACAGAAATTTTGGACTCGGATATGGTTTTAAGTTGAGGACTACCTGTAGACTGCAAAGCTGGACTCCAAGAAATAAAAATAGTGCCATTTGGTGATGTGACCTTTCAAGATAGTAAATGTTTGTGATCTTCACAAATGATACTGAGGTTAATAAAAATAATAAATTATCAATTGTTGCATGAATAATTAAACTTTCGCCAGTAGGGCTGGTCTTTTTGCTTGATTAATCCATAAAATGACTGAATAAATTACTCAGGTCCATGCAAGGGTTTCAAGAAAGAATTGAGAATGTTATGAAACAATAATATTGTGACATAAGAGATCAATATGTAACATAGGAAGTATGTCTGAGGTGGTAACTACAGTTTAGATAGTGTCATATTTTGGTACTGTATTCTGATGATTAATATTAACTAATATAACTGGACTATTGCAATGTGCTGTACATGGGGCTACCACTGAAACGTATCCAGAAGCGTCATCTGGTGCAGAACAAGGCCATCTGGGCAATTTTAGGTGCCCAAGAAGGCTGCATGTAACACCTTTGCTTCATGAGCTGCATTGGGTACCAGTTTGCTTCATAAAGTTGTTTTATCATTTTAACATTTTAATCCTAAATTGTTCTGTTTTTAATTGTTTAATTTTACTGATTAAAGTGCACACCGCCCAGAGCACCTCTCCAGAGGAGATGGGCAGTTAAGGAGTATGAAATGTAAATAAATAAATTCTGAATCAGCAAACACAGTTCTTTTAGCTATAGTAGCTGACAAATACAAAATCAATCTGAAATTTCTTAATTTCTGGATTGACAATTCGTCACATTCCATATAATTTTGAAATTGAAGCTCTGACAAAAAGTACATGGAGAATACTTGTTGTGCAATGTTTTTATTCAAATTTCCGTGTCACTGTCATGCTTTTCTGTTTGTTGAAAAGGAATCTAATAATGCAAAAGAAGCATTTGCTGAAAGGAAACCAAACATTATTCAGGTCCTGGTTCTGCTTGTTACCACTATGGGACCTGGTGGAATTTATCTCTGTCCCTTATGCTGATCCATTCGACTGTCTTCTGGGAACTTTTCATAGACTGAATAATTTGAGAATTGGCCCTCATCACTGTCAGGTTTGTTCTGATTTCTAATTAACATTTTTAATCATATTTGTCTGATGACGGCAAGGGATAGATACCAGAGGCCCAATCTTACATGCGGCCCATAGGTTTGTCATTACTCCTTAAGTGAAGTATGCATCAGCAAGTATGAGAACTTGGTTTGTTCAAGCTATTCTAGTAAATTGGTCCATTAAGGCCTGACTTGCTACTTTTGTCTACCAGGTAGAATAACCTCCCTCGGTCAAGACATATTGTTTGCCTTTGATATCTTGGGCTTACAATATCCATCACTCACCTCCGGAAGGGTGCCATATTAACAGTCGGTTGCAAAGGGGCTTTATTCTTATCATGGCAGTACTGCATGTCTTGGCTTATGTCAGAATTTCCTATATACAGATACTTCCTCCCCAATGGGAGGAATACTCATTCACTTGGGAAGTAATCAGCCATATTTGGCAGCCTCAGGCAAAACTAGGTAGGCATCATGAACTGATAATAAGATACCCCAGTGATGGCGAACCTTTTAGAGACCGAGTGCCCAAACTGCAACCCAAAACCCACTTATGCATTGTCGGGTGCCGGGTGGGTGTGGCCCATTGGCTGGGTGTGGCCCATTGGCTGGGTGTGGCTGCGGTGGTAACAGCAGACTGGTTGGGACTAAAAAGTTCAATCAATTCCAACTTTGCAAGATTTTTTTTTCCTGCGAGAAGTTGAAATTGACTGATTGAACCTTTTTTTTTTGCACACGGCGGTGGAGGCCTAAAGTGAAAAGGTTTTATAAAACCCAGATGAAGGCTAGGACTGGGGCGATGGCGCATGTGCCCACAGAGAGCACTCAGAGTGCCGCTTCTGGCACCCGTGCCATAGGTTCGCCACCACTGAGATACCTTATGCCCCTAAGGAGATACACTGCACAGAATTCCGTTTTTGATACATTGTGGCTCCCAATATTTCCTGGGGATTATCAGCCCCACTACACAGACCAGACCAAGCAATCAGCTCTAGGAAGGCTAAAACTACCTTTATTGATATCAGCAATAAAAGCAGAATCTTGCAAGATTGACTGTGCTTTATTTCCTCTCTCTTATTCTTCAGTGAATTAAGGAGGTATCTGCCTGAGCCATTTACAAATATTCATTCATTCATTCATTCATTCATTCATTCAATCAATCAATTTCTATAGACTCCCATCTCAAACAAATGACTCTGGGTGATGAACAACCCAGTAAGAGAAACTTTTAAGTTTGCTTGTGTTTACCTGTTATAAATATGAGTCAGTTGCCAAGCCTCTGAATTTTGATCACTGTGACTATGGGGATGATGCAGCAGTGATAAGTGCAAAAAATGGTTAAAAGTCCCTTATCTTAGTGCTGTTGTAATCTCGAACGGTCACTAAATGAATGTTGTAAGTCAAGGACTGCCTGCATCCACTTTCAAATAAACTTTCCAACCAAGAGAAAAGAAGAAAAAAAAATCATATTCGCTGAGGCTCCCACATTTTGTCCCACAGTGCATGCTTGTAGAATTATGCACAGAGTTGTGGTGGCTTGGCATCTGTGACTCTCACAAGAGGGTTCCCTAGTCTTTCCTCCACAATCTCAATTGTTACAACCTCCAATAAACCATGGAGATGCGGTCTCTCTTGTCATTATTGCCAACCCAAAAAGCAATAGAAGTGGAACAAAGCAACACTAACATGGAGGCTGTTAAAGACCAACAAATACATCATACTGAAAACCTAGATAACCAAATAACAACTATTAAGCTGGACGTGACTCTCTACCTAAACCAGAAGAAACCTGAGGAACAAGAAGACCAAATTGTATTGAAGGAGTCACCAGGACGACAACTTCACGACTATGAATGTGCCAGCCTTTCTGGAAAACTGATAACTAGATGTTTCCCTTGGTTCTAGTAATATGTACAAGAATGAAGTGAGATTTACCTGATGATTTAAAGGCATTGGTATGGAAGCCTGGTTGGCACAAAAAGAAAGCCAGAGTTAGATTTTTTTTAAAAAGGGATCTTTTGATTTACGATAGAGCAGCGGTTCTCAACCTATGGGTCGCGACCCCATTTGGGGTCGATCGACCATTTCACGGGGGTCGCCAAGCAAGGCTGTCCGCCATTTTTTCTGTTTGCCATTTTTTCCCACTTTTCCGGCGGGTGCCTTACCTCCCTTGTGCTGGGCCAGCTGGTAGTCGGCCTGCTCCGTCTCTGCTGCTTGCCAGCTACGCCTCGGCCAGCGCAGGGGGCGGAACCACGCATGCACGGCACTCCCGGGCAGGGAAAGTCCTCAACTTATGACCGGTTGGGTAGTCCTCGACTTACGACCGGTTTAGTCCTCGACTTACGACCGGTTTAGTCCTCGACTTACGAACGGTTGGGGGTCGCAGCATTAAAAAGGTTGAGAACCACTGCGATAGAGGATCCTAAAGTCTCAATAAATGGGCTAAAGAGAGACTTCTAGATGAAGGGAAATATGATTATTGGATTTAAATGTTGTTAAATGATAAAAAAAAATAAGGGATTAACTGGCTTAACATTCAGGATTTTGACTTATAAGGGAAATGAAAATTAATGATTAGGAATTAGCTTTGAACTATTGTTTAGATAATATAGATGATGGACTTGAGACAATAAAGGACACTATTAGTAAGTGATGATGTATTAGAATGAGAAATAGAAAATGTTTATATAAGATAAGAATATGTTTAACTGACTAATATGTATATTTTAGATATGATAACTTTTATGTAGTGAAATAAAGGAAATTTGGATTACCCGAAACTCAAATACTATGGATATTAAAGGTTAAATTGGTATATTGTAATAAAAAATTAAAAATTAAGTAAACCTTAAAAACAGGATATGGATATGTATAAGCAAACAATATATTGATAAAGGTCTTAAATAACTTTGTTATAATTAAAAATTTATAAGCCAGAATGAGATATAACAAATGTTAAGGGAAATAGAGAAGGAATTTCTGATGATATAACCTGAGATATGTACTAAAGATTTTGTTATTGAACCACTGATTACCCAGTCACCATGCTGCTTTCCGAATACTCAGTATAAAATTGGAAAATCAATAAAACTTGTTTTTTTAAAAAAAAGGTGGCGTGTTAGGAGCACTAGGAGCACTAGTTTCTCCTCTTACCCATTGGTGGGTAATAGTGCGCTGTAAGCTCAAATCTCTGGCAAAATGAATGCATGAATTTCAGGAAGATGATACAAGTTGTTACGTAGATTAAGGTTAGGTAGCTAATGGAGGATTTCAGGTGATGGGAAAAGAGGAAAGTCTCATCCACAGGTAAGCTAAACATGTTTTTGTGTATATTTTGCTACCTAAAATTCTTGGTTTATCCATGAGTACATACAATAACTCACAGGCATGACCGCATATCTACACAATGCAGGCAAATTTATGAATGTACAGTATTTATGTTTAGATCTGTTAATTGTCCAAGTCTTCTCAAGGGTAGGATGTGTTTCTTACAAATGGAGGCGTTCAGATGCACACAACACACACAATACCCATACACACACACATACACACACACACACCAACCTCTTTAGGCAGCAAATTGTAAAAAGTCACTTGACTGGGAGATGTTTGTCTAAAACAGTGATTCTTTTTAATCTGAACTTTTTTCTCTGTTTTAGGATATAAAAAAGCTTTTAGAAAAATTGTTGCACATCCTGTCAAAAAAAAAGATGTAAGTAAAACATGCATGTACTTTTTTTTTAAAAAAAGCATTCATTTAGAACACACCTCACTGAAGTAAACAATAGAAAAATTGATAGTGAATCACTTATGTAGCTTTGTTTTGTCAAGCTGAAAATGATAACCCACAACTAGGGGTCTTTAGGTGTTTGAGGAGGTACTTGATGCAATCAGGTATCGGAATGAGTAGTTGATGTGTGTGCAATTTTTAGAGAGACGATGCTCAGAAACCACCATTTGCAAAGCTGACCTGCTGATCAAAAGTGTGGCCCAGCCTTCTAAGACAAAATGGCCTACGTGGCCCTCACTGTCTGAAGGAAGCATGATGCCTCTGCACAATAAAATGCTCCATCAAATGGATTGCTCACGGTCCACAAACTGTTAGTCATAAAAGATTACATGTTATTTTAATAACCATAAAAGATTAGTATATAAAAATGTTTTAAGAGAAGTTAGAAAGATTCATTTGTTTTATTTATTAACATTTATATGCCACTTTCATGTGCAACAATGCCATAATTAGCATTTCATGGCTGGGTTATTTCTGCTAGAAAAGGAGAATTTCAGACTATTAGAACAAAGTAGGAAGTGATTTTGAGAAAAGGAAAAAGAAAAAAAATGGCCTCACTCTTTCTTCCTACAAAGAAGTCCCACTACAGAGTATGAGATTCCATAGACACTGCTTCCCTGTCCCCATTTTTTAGCATTCACCTGCTGCTATTGCTGGCCCTTTGTTGAGGAATGCCCAGCTAGTCATGGAGAAGGAATCAAGCAGGGGATTAGCCTTGAATTGTTGCGCAGCTGCAAGAGACCCAGGACTGCCCCCCCCCCCAATTCTTGCTTCCCAAGAGAAGGCAAGCAGTCTGGGGAAGTTCCTGTACTGTAGGTAAAATGCAGTAAAGTTACCAACTTGAACCTTTCACTTGTGGTACTATTGTTTGAGCCTGACAACTTCCCATGCTTCCCAGTGCTCACCTTTGCCAGCCTACCTGATACCCTTGCTGGCCCTCCGTGCTTTCCAGGGCCTGCCTTTGTCAGCTCCCCCATGGTCCTTGCCAATCCTTCCATGCTTTCCAACACTTTCCCACAGCATTCCCCCCCCCCCCAAAAAAAACACATTTGCTTGCACTCCTTATCCTGGGCTCCTGCCTCTTTCCCCCTAGTGACCCACACAGTCCTAAGGTTATGATGGCAAACAGGACTACCATCACTGTTATGCTTTATGTTTGCATCATTTACCAGTGGTAATTTCTCTTAATTATAATCCACCCAATTGCTGTGGTAATCTCAGAACTACCAGTATTTTGTTAGGACTCTCTTTAACGCTTAACTTTGATACAGTAGTAGGCAACTTTTCCAGGGGAGGCACATGTTTTGAATTTTATGAGTGAGTGGTGTTGATATTCACAAAATGGCTTCTATAGAAGACTTCCTAGTTCAAAAAATCAACTATGGGGATGTGTATGACTGGTTATGAAGATGAAGAGAAGTATTTTACCTTCCTGTAAGCTTAGTTTTCATTGCAAATGTCATTTTGAACTCCTGAGTCTTGTTTTGTTATGCATACTTTTAATGTGCATTTCTGGTGTTCTCTTAATTGCGCAAATATACAAACTTTCTCCAATTCAGTACAATTCAGCAAGGTGATTGGAAACACTCTGCTATTGCCTGTCAAAAACTTCATGAGATGTGCAGCTATCAGGTTCCAGCAATACCACATTACAAGTTATTAGCTACAGCAGTTGAGATTGTTTCAACAGTTCTTGCACTCAAACCCTCAGAGGTAAGCTTCTCTCTCTTGCCCTTTGGTAGTTCATTAAGATGAGTGGAGAAAAGGCTCACTGACTAGAGCAGTGGTGGCGAACCTATGGCACGCGTGCCAGAGGTGGCACTCAGAGCCCTCTCTGTTGGCACGCACGCCACCGCCACTGCCACCAGCAGCAGGTCCATCAGGCCGCCACTGCCGCCCAGAGCAGGCACCCCACCCAGCACAAAGGAGGCGAAGCGGCTGACTAGCAAGCTTGAGTAGAGGTGGTAAAGCAGAGGTCACCAACCATTGTCAATTGGTGGACTGGAAGAAAAGGGAGGGGGAAGTATTTTACATGCGTGCATGCACACATGGGGCCACGAGCACGCATGCTCTGCAAATGGGGTGGGGCTAGTGCCTACTCACTAGCCCTGCCCCGTTCTTGCGTGGTGCAGCGCCTTGTATCTGTACCCTGCGGTGCCACAGCAGCCGTTTTTGCGCCTTGTAGCATGGTGGTCCATTTTTGCACCCCCAGTTTTTGCATGCCAGAGGCGGCACTCAGAAGCGCCTCCCTGCCCCTCCCCCGAGGGCACCACAATGCTGATGTGGCCCTGGCACTTTGTGATAAATAAGTGGGTTTTGGGTTGCGGTTTGGGCACTCGGTCTCTAAAAGGTTCGCCATCACCGGACTAGAGGAACAGAATAACAGAGTTGGAAGGGATCTTGGAGGTCTTCTAGTCCCAACCCCACTCAAGCAGGAGACCCTATAACATTTCAGACTTTGGGGTGGGGTGAATTCATTGGGACAAACAGGTTTGGTGAGGTAGTTATATGAAAACATCACTGTTTTGGAATACTTCAGGCAAATAAAAGTATGGATAGTCTTCGATTTACAACAGTTTGCTTAGTGATCTCTCAAAGTTACAGTGACTTATGATCATTTTTCACACTAATAAGCATTTCCATGGCCACATGATTAAACTAAAGATGCTTGGCAACTGACACATATTTATGACGGCTGCAGTGTCCTGGGGATCATGTGATCACCTTTTGTGACCTTCAGACAAGCAAAGTCAATGGGGAAACCCAGATTCTCTTAACCGTGTTACTACATTAACAACTGCAGTGATTCACTTAACAACTGTGGCAAGAAAGGTCATAAAATGGGGCAAAATTCACTTAACAACTGTCTCATTTAGCCAGAGATATTTTGGGCTCAGTTTCTGTTGTAAGTCGAGGACTACCTAAAGTATTTTAAAGTTCATAAAATAATTTGGCTTGAACTTCACATGTGATGGCAGAAGTTAGACTATTATCAAACCTGGCATAGATTTGGCACAGATTAGGGACTTACTGAATCTAACCATATGTGTTATTCCCTGCTTTGATGTTTAAAAGATAACATATAGCCGTAGGGATACCAAGGACCTTCCAAGGAGAGGGTTTGAATTAAGCGTTTTCCCTTCTGTGATCAAATTTCACAGAACTAAGTAGGCTGCAGAATGGATCATTCTGTGATGCCTGAGATACCCTCCCAAACATTTCAGGATTATAGCCAAAATAAATAAAGTAAGTAGAGAGTACTATTGGCAAGCTAAATCATAGGGGATCTAGGAAGCTTCTCTGTTGTGCACCTATTCCGTGGAACAGCATTCCCACCAGGGATGGAGGAACCTCTTTCTCCTGAAATGTTAAAAGGCCCTTAAAATCTAGCCTTGATCCTAGGCTTGGTGTTAATGTGTTGGGTGGTGCCTTGTGCTGCATTTTAAAGATTGTTTTTAGCCTGAGCTGACTTGTTTTATTTTATGTTTTTAACTGTTTAAATTTAGTATTATATATTTTTTTATAACAAATTTTATTGTTTTTTTAGTTTTTACATCAAATTGCTTAGGAAACAACGTGGTAATGGGGACATCAATCATCCCCCCAAAAATAATTCATATATAACTCAGGTTAATTCATTAAAAGTTCCCTCTCTATTCCCCTCACATAATATTACATATTCAAATCAATACATTTCTAAATAAAGTTCAATCAGTCAAATCAGTTATCAATCACATTTCAGCTATAAATATCCAAATCCTGTTTTTAAGCTTTAAATTTAGTATTATATTTTGTAAGTCACCCAGAGTTGACATGAATGGGTGTCTATAAAGGTAATCCTTGACTTACGGCTGTTTGCAGCATCCCATGGTCACGTGATTACAGTTTATGACGTTTTGCTGAAAACAGGCACTTACTTTTGGCAAAACCGGCCCACAGTGAACAATTGGTTTGCTCAATGACTGTGGTGTTCACTTAATGACTGAAGCAGTCGCTTATTGACTTTGATGTTTGCTTACCAATCACTGCAACAAAGGTTGTAAAAATCAGGTCAACCACAGGAGTGACCCACTCTAGGAACATAATGTGCAGTCTCCATTACAGTCCTTGGTCGAGGACTAAAGTATTAAATCTACTTTTATTATTAAGTTTCATCTCATAGCCAGNTAGATATATAGTGTCATATACATGATATATTAATCTGCTTGTACTAATTAATCTAGATGAGCATAACTTCAAATGTATGAAAAGCTTTTATGTAATACTTTTGTGACGTGTCTTCTTTTATTGATGTTAAACCAAGATTAATCTGATCACTATCATATCTGGCAAAACTGCTTGGAGTTTCTAGCATCAGCAAAATATGATTTTGGACAAGAATGATTCACTACAGTAATGTAAACTTACCATTTATTTTGAGCTGATGTGTGGTTGTGCAGTTTATTCAACAATTAATGGTTAAAATATGGCTTGGCGCAACTATACAATTAAAACCAATAATTGGCTTTGCTTCTACAACAATCTTTCTTAACCTAGTTTGCTCCAAAGGTGCGGTGACTACAATTCTCAACATTACTGGGCTCTTGATGATTAATATCATGTCTGTTATTGAAAGAGTCTCCAAATTATCTAAACCAAATCTCTTATTGTAATCTTTCTTGTCTAAGACTTGTTTTGGGAAGAAAATGCATTTTTGGTATGCTTTATTGATATGATGTGAGGGTGCTGCTGTTGCCTTCTCAGAGAATTGCATTCCTGGGTTTTAGGTCCTTGCTGGCAGGGATAAAGAGGATGGAGGATATCAAACCCTGAAGAGATTGTGCCTGTTGCCAGGGAGGCTAAATCAGAAATAAATGCCTGTATGTTAAGTTGGTTGTAGGGACAACTTGGGTATCCTTCTAGTGTATCAGCCGATGCCCTCTGTGAGCCCTTGATTTGTGCTCAGACTGGTATTGGAGACTTCTCATGTTTTAGTGATTTCAAACTCCATACTCTCTGGATTGGTTGAAATAGGCTTGGGAGTTCATGATCTTTGTGGCAATTATGGACTTGTCCCAAATATCTCTGGTAGAACACATATAAGTAAGAAGTTTAGACCTCACTTTCATATCTGAGCAGATAGTTGGTGATTTGTCTATGCAGAACATCTGGTTTCAGTTTGAATGAAGCACCTGACATAAACAAGTATGGAATTTCTTCAAACTACTAGTAGCCTCCCCATTTCCATGAGTTTAGGGAAGGGAGGTCTACAAATGTTTCTTTGTGGCAGCATGAATGTTACGGAATTCCTTGTCCCTTGAAATCCAGTCAGTTCATACCTTGTTAGGCTTTAAGGAATTATTAAACATCAAATTGTTAAGAAGATTTAAAGATGTCACCTTCAATTTTATTTCTTTTTTAAAGAATAATTTTATCTGTGGCTTAATGTTTGGGAACTGATTAATTATTATGCAGTTTTAATTGTAGCATGGACATTTTTTGTTGTGACTGTAACTCTCTTTGAGAGTCTCTCAAGTGTGCGAATTAAAAGAATAAATTAAGTGACTCTATAAATGCCCAATTATTGTAGAAAAACTATTTGATCTGGATCACATAGATCCATGTAACCTTGTATAACTCTATGTATCCCTATGTAACAGGTCAGGGGGAGGAGTTAGGGTCAGGGGCGGAGCTTCAAAAGGGCATCCCTGGACACTAGCCTGGGGTTAGTCCTTTGTTCTTTGGCCATCACATGCAGCCACACGGCTGGAGACTCCACAATCACCCCACCATGTGACGCTT